AACCTCCAACTCATGGGCTCAAGTGAGTCTCCTGCCTCAGCCTCCCAAGTAGCTGGGACCACAGGCGCCCCCCACAACGCCTGCCCAGCTATTTTTTGGTTACAGGCGTCATTGTTGTTTGGCGGCCAAGGCTGGATACGAACCCGCCACCTTAGGTGTATGTGGTTGACGTCTTAGCCACTTGAGCCAGAGGCGCCAAGCCTTCACTGCTTTTTTGAAAGCTATTTTTCCATAGAGACTACCTGAAATAACAACCCACTCCATTAGCAGATGTTATACAATCATGTGTTTTCATTCTTTTCCTGTTTCTATCCTTTACCTTTGGGTTCCACTGCCTAGCCATTTAGAAAAGTCAGTTCTTTCCTGATTGTATTAATTACTTTGTATTTCCAAACCATTCAGTCCCTTTTGTGCTACTTGGAACTCTCTATCTTTATGAGTTTAACGTTCTCAGCTGAGGCGTCATTGAGAACCCAAGGGCCATGTCTTTTCTGGTGCCACATGAGTAGATATCAACAGACAACTCTAGTCCAGCCTGGCAACACTCTTGGTGATTCCCTGGTGCTTCTTCCTCTTTGCCCATATCAGCCTGGGCCGCAGCTTCCATTTAAAGTGCATGTCTGTCTTCCCTTCCTCCTTCCCTGTCTTCTTTTATTTCTGCTCATCAGAATCCATTTCTGATTGAAAACAGGCACACCCAGCTCAAATGCATCCTTTTAATCCATCTTTTCCATTTAGCTGTCCAGAAGTGCTCACTCTCTTTGAATCCCTGGAGGACATTTTCAATTTCTTATAGGGCACTAGTTGTGCCTCATGATGTTTATTTGGGTACTTATCACACCTGATGATGTGATCATAACTCTTCTGTCCAAGTGATGAGCGCCCACGGTGCCCATCTCTATGTGCTATGTTGCTGATGTGTCCTCAGCTCTAGTCTTTAGAAAAATCACTGTAAGGTAGATGTGAGTCCTGCTTCACAAATGAGGAAAGTGAGGCTTGGAAACATTCAATGACGTGACATCCAAAGCTGCACCTCTGGTAGGTGGCCTAGGGGTCAAACCCACTGGAGTATATGCCACAGAATTTGTTCTAGAAATCTTTGTCTCCTACAGTGTCTAGAATAAAGATTTTCCTGTACATAATTCTAATATTTATTGGGCATTGAAGAGGCTTTTTATTTCCACAGGGGCCCTTCTCTGGAAGATCGAACAGAAATCTAACCGAGCTTTTGCCTGTGGAAAGGTCACCATCAAGGGGAAGCGGCACTGGTATGAAGCCCTGCCCCAGGCAGTGTTTGTGGCCCTGAGTGATGACACAGCTTGGATCATCAGAACGAGCGGGGACCTGTACCTACAGACAGGTGAGAGGCTACACTCATGGCTGCCAGCCCTAGTATCACTGCCTCTGGTGCACCCTCATTTGGCAGAAACATGCTTGTAACAGTCTCAATAACTAAGAAGCAAAACGATCAGTTTAAATTAAAACACTTCTAGATAGAGTATTTGCCATTTGAAATGTGTTAGCAGTTTCCTGCTACTGACACAAATTTAACATAGGATTAATAGGATTATTCAATGAACTACGGAAATAGGATTTTATTCTCCTATGGCTATTACGTATCACTTATCCTGCAATATCCAATCTTAAGAGGAAAGAATATAGAGAAATGACATTTGAATCATTTTTCTCCATCATAGGAGAAAAGCCAGTATTACTAAAATAAATAAATAAAAATCATAATAATAATAATAAAAAGAATTATTTCTTCCTTTAAGCTTAATTGGCTGCATTTTTTTTCAGCCAGGTCAAAGCTTAGCTCCTATATACTTATTTACATGTGGGTCAGGAAAAAATAAGAAGAAATAATTTGCTCTAAATAGCAGTTCAGCTTGTCCTAGGAAACCGCCCTTGGGGAAGCCTTTAGCTTCTAGAAGTGGTACAGTGAGACTTGTTTATTAAAAGTAAACAGTGATGATAGTGTTTATATACTGTCAGCAAAATGGGAGATGGTTTTCCACAAGCAATGTGATTTATTAGTGTCTGGGAAGCATTGTGGGGCAGGAATTCTTTTTGATTATCAAAAGGCCATTTTGGATTTATGCAAAGATCAGTCTTCTAACCATTTAATATTGCTGATTCCAAGAGAATGTTTTAATCTCTGTTATGAACTGTCAGCTGAGAATGATTCTTGAGATGGAAGATCCTTGTCCAGATGTGTGAGAACCTTGAGCCCCGGTCTTCATTCTAGCTCCTATGTCTTCCTTTAAATGAAAATGGCTCTGGCAAGGCATGTGCACATCTAGCTTCCAGGACATTTGGGTTTTGGTCATGGGGAAAAAGGTTGCTTCTGGGGTAGGGGTGAGAAAAGGATAACCTCTTAATCAGTACCATCAGAGGAATCACCAAGGCACTGATTTCAGATGAGCCTGGCCCCACCCAGACCTACTAGATTAGAGTCTCTGGGGGTTGGCCCAGGCATTTGCATTTAAGTCCTTCAGGTGAGTCCCACCTAGTTTAGTGTAAGGAGATATAACTTAACGGCTGTGATCGATGCTTTTGTGATTAGTGAGGGAGCAAATTTGAGTACTGAGACCTAATTACGGACTAAGGAATATGGGGTTTTTGTGATAGCTGCTCTGCCAGCTTCCTTAAGAGTAGCCTTTGAGCTCATTTAAACACTCTTTACTGACAGACCGCAGAGGCAAGGGGAAGAGCACTGAGTGGAGAGTCAGGGATCTTGAGCTCTGGCCCTGCCATAGCCTTGCATTGTGATGGACCTCAGCACTTCAACTGGGAAATTCAGGTTTTCATTTTAGCAGTGGAATATTGGTCCAGGTTAAAACAGACTGGAGGGGCTGACAGTATATAAACACTATCATCGCTGTTTACTTTTAATAAACAAGTCTCACTGTGCCACTTCAGAAGCTATAGGCTCCCCCAAGGGCAGTTTCCTAGGACAAGTTGAACTGCTATTTAGAGCAAATTATTTCTTCTTATTTTTTCCTGAACTCTCTCTACAGGGATGGCTGGTGAGCCCCCTCTGCTCCCTGAGGTTATGAGGGTCACTGCCTGAGGGTGGGAGAGGGCTGGGTTGTCTGTAGCCTCCAGGTTTGTTGGCTGCTCTCCCGCTCTTGGCTTTCATGTTTTCTCAGAACGTCTTAATCTTCTTTGGGACACTGAAAAATTCTGAGTTGTTAGTCTTCAGCTTTCAGAGTGTCCAGAACTGCTTCAAATAGATGTTATAACTGCTTAGAAAAAGCAGTTATTGTTATGAAAGAACATAAAGTATCAAAACAAAGAAAAAGAAGCCAACAACAGAGTCAAACTGAGATGTGAAGTCCTGATTTCTTGATTGTGTTGTCTTTGGGGTCTTTTCCCCACCTTCCTGGCAGGTCTTAGCGTGGATCGCCCCTGCGCCAGAGCTGTAAAGGTTGACTGTCCCTACCCGCTGTCCCAGATCACAGCCCGAAACAGTGTGGTGTGGGCACTGACGGAGCAGAGGGCCCTCCTGTACCGGGAGGGTGTGAGCAGCTTCTGTCCAGAAGGGGAGCAGTGGAAGTGTGACATCATCAGGTACCCGCATGGGCAGGGGCTTCTGCAGCATGTTATTTGTTCCTCTCATCGCTCTTGTCAGCTTGACTCTTTGTAAGGCACCATGTGAGCCTGTTTCTAGGCAAACCCAGTCCCCTGGGTTCTCTGGTAATAGCATTCTCTTGAATCCAGAGCCGACTTCAGCAGCCAAGTCTTAGAGACACTCTGTTTGCCTCACCACCAACCTGGGGGCTGGGTCAGAGCTCAGTTTTAAAAAATGCTGCTGCCAGGTTGGCACCTGTGGCTCAGTGAGTAGGGTGCCGGCCTCAGCCAAACTGCAACAAAAAAATAGCCCAGCATTGTGATGGGCACCTGTAGTCCCAGCTACTTGGGAGGCTGGGGCAAGAGAATCACCTAAGCCCAAGAGCTGGAGGTTGCTGTGAGCCGTGACGCCACTGCACTCTACCAAGGGTGACAAAGTGAGACTCTGTCTCTAAAAAAAAAAAAATGCTGCTGCCCTGCATGTAACCCAGAACATCATAGAGCCATGAGCCTCTCCTTCTGGGCTCTATTCAAAGACTCCCCATTGTTGGATAGTTTCTGTTTAGAGTCTATGATGGCTTAGATCCACATATTTTTCTTTATTTCTGTCCTAGTCAATTAAAATTGATCTCTGAGCTGTAATGTTAGGCTACTTTTTACCATTCAGTATTTTAGTTATAGAACTGCCATCAAATCATTTTACTAATGTTGAAATATTAAGAATCCTTAGAAAAACTAGATTAAGGTATTCTTGGTTTAAATTCAATGACCTGATAAACTTTTAATGAATACCTGTTTGAGCCAGCACTATCCTGGGAGCTGGGTGTGCCAAGATGACTGGGACTAAGCCCACCCTAACTATTCCTTAGTCTAGTGGGGAGCCACATGCTCAGTAAGAACCAGAGTGTATACATGATTCTAAATAAGAGTGTGGAGCACGAAGCGCCAAAAGAGATGTGGACTCCAACGGCAGAGGTCAAGAAGGCAGCATGCAGAGTGGACCCTCATGAAGCTGTGAAGCTGATGAAGACTTCCCCAGATGGAAGGAGGGGAAGGGAATACTTGTTAGAGAGGGAAGCATCTGCACAACTCAGCCTGGCATGTTGGGGAATTTGCAGTTGCTCCCTTGGTAAAGGAGGAACTAGAGAGATGGTATTCATAGGCCTTGAATTCCTTTTGTGCCTTCTTACTTTTTTCTTGTTTTTTCTTGAGAGAGTTCCCTACCATTCTGGGTCATCAGTATGTCTTTCAGAATCTACTACACATTTAGTCAATTTATGCTGCAAGGTAATTTAACTCACACTCAAACTTCCTTCCTGGCACTTGATGATCCACTCCTTGTGAGGAGAGTCATGATCCTTTTCCCACACCATGCCCACCAGCAGACACTCTATGCCACAGTTTTAGACCCGCTGGGCATGCTGTGTGTGGGTACTGACTCCCATGTTCTTTTCCTTATTTTCAGTGAAAGGCAAGCTTTAGAGCCTGTTTGCATAACTCTTGGAGATCAGCAGACTCTTTGGGCCCTGGATATCCATGGAAACCTGTGGTTTAGAACTGGCATTATTTCTAAGAAGCCCCAAGGAGATGATGACCATTGGTGGCAAGTAGGTTTTCAACTCTGTGGCTGCATGCCAGGGGTCTTCCTTGCTTGGCGAGGGTGGGATGGGGTGGGGGGTCCACTCCACCTTTTCATACCTCTCTCTTTTTCTTAAAGACATTGAATTAGATCAATAGTACTCACTTATCCTGTTTGATGGATTAGCCTTACTGTGTTTGGGTACAATAGAAACATCAAGAACTTTTCTTCATAAGAAATAACTTACAAAGTTCTCTTAAGTAATACAGATTTTTTTTTTCGTGCAATCAAAGTGGCTTTTATTCCACCTGGAGTGCAGGTGGGGTGAGATTACTGACTACGGAGAAATCCATAGTAATACAGATTTTATTTACTTATTTATTTATTTAGATTGTATAGAAATTTGTCATTATAGGCTAAATAAGCCTAGTGACATTGTCTGAAGACGTAGGTAATAATGATGTTTAATTCTGAACAAATGTGCTAAGAAAAGAGACTAGACAATAGGTTTGAAAACCCAACCCACAATTAAATTCATCTATCTTTGAGTATTTGAAAGGCATCTAAGTAAATGTTATTTCAGCAAAGAAAGGAGAATTTTCCCACATGCTACCAGAAAAAGAAACCCTTTGAGAAATAGGAGGAGAGTATAATCAAGCTAACTTCATTTGATTTGGCCCCAGCCAGAGTGGCCTAGAGTGGATTTTCAGTGGAGTCTCTACCTTTCCCCCTTTTTGGTTCCATTAGTGTTAGCGTAGCTCCCACAGTCTTCCACTGTGATAGGTGAGGTTGCACTGACAGTCAATAATTGTGAAATATGTGATGTCTCTTAAGTATTGTCTTCATTGGTTTAGGGTTTGGTTTGGTTTAGTTTCAGACAGGGTCTCACTTTGTCACCCTCGGTAGAGTGCCGTGGTGTCATAGCTCACAGCAACCTCAAACTCTTGGGCTTAAGCAATTCTGTTGCTTTAGCTTCCCAAGCAGCTGAGATTATTGGGGTGCCCCATAATGTCCAGCCTCTCTTTTTAGAGATGGAGTCTCACTCTTGTTCAGGCTGGTCTCAAACCCATGAGCTCAGGCAGTCTGCCCACCTCAGCCTTTCAGAGTACTAGGATTACAGGCTGAGCCACAGCACCTGGCCCCTTGTTTTGTTTTTTGTGAGATAGGGGCTCACTCTGCTGCCCAGGATAGAGTGCTATGGCATTAGCCTAGCTCACAGCAACGTCAAACTCCTGGATTCAAGGGATCCTCCTGCCTGAGCCTCCTAGATAGCTGGGACTACAGGAGCCTGCCACGATGCCTGGCTAATTTTTAGCAGAGACAGGGTCTTACTTTTGCTCAGGCTGGTCTCAAAACTCCTGAGCTGAAGGGATCCTCATGCTTTAGACTCTCAGAGTGCTAGGATTATAAGTGTGAGCCACTGCACCTGGCCTTCATTGGTTCAAGTATTATTTATTGGACTTGCCTTGTTGAAAACTTGTCTTGTGGGTGGCGCCTGTGGCTCAAAGGAGTAGGGCGCCAGCCCCATATGCCGGAGGTGGTGGGTTCAAACCCAGCCCTGGCCAAAAAAGAAAAAAAAAAAGAAAAGAAACTTGTCTTGTATTGGCTATTCTTAGGTCTTTCAGATGAGAATGGAAAAATAAGTTGTATTTGCCTTTTGATAAATATGTGCATTGCATTACCTAATATACTAGATAATATTTGATAAAGTTATACAAATGATTTTAAAATACCTCTGTGTACTTATAAACATATATACATAGACTTATGTGTATATATGTGTACTAAATTGTTTTTAAGTAGAAAGAAAAAAATTAAATATTGTTTTATCATAATATTCAGAACATTATCTTTGGAGAAATTTGACAGAATCATCTATTAGGTACTTGGAAGCAGACTTTTTTTTTTTTTGAGAGTCTCACTATGTCACCCTTGGTAGAATGCTGTGGTGTCACAGCTCACAGCAACCTCAAACTCTTGGGCTTAAGCAATTCTCTTGCTTCAGCCTCCCAAGTAGCTGGGAATACAGGCACCCACCACAACACCCGGCTATTTTTTGTTGCAGTTGTCGTCGTCGTTTAGCTGGCCCAGGCCAGATTCGAACCCACCAGCCAGGCACCGAGCACACAAATTTATTTTAAATACTATAAGATTGATTTATTTATAGTGTTAGAGCCAGTGTTATGTTTTGACTGCAAAACCTTTCTTTTCTTTCTTTTACTTTTTGTCCGGTTTATCTACACATCTTGAATGATAGGGCTGAGTCTCTCACAGACTTTGTGTGTGGCCTTGGCAGAGTCGCTGCTCCCCCTGGTGAGCTGAGTGCCAACCAAATGCAGAGCTCTTGAGCTGTCTGTCACAGATCCTGTGCTGCAAGTCTCCAAGAGGTGCTATATGTGCCCAAGTCTCCAGAGGTTCGTTTCCTTGGCATTCAGACTGGGACCCCCATGAGGGAGCAAAATAGGGCTCCAGGCTCTGCAGTGAGACCTGGAGGCCCAATGAGGTTAAAGCCTTGTCATAAACTTCACTTAAGGCAGTGGCTCACAGTCAGTGTGAACCCTTCCAAAGACCAGAAGGGGCAAGACAGTAAAGTACTGACTTATACAATAATTTCCTTTTTATTTGTTTTTGTTTATTATAAATTAGGTTCGCAGTAGTGATGTCATTTTGATGCAGCATGTCATCATTCATGATGTGGGAATAGGGCCTGCACAGGGCTGTCCATGAGTACAGCATTTTTGCTACTGATGTTCTCTATGATAAAATAAATACAGCATTGCAGAAATTTCAGTGACAATTATACAGAACAGATTTTGGCCCATCTTACAAAGAACTTCCTTAGTATCAGAGCTGCCTGACAAGGGGGAAGTTTCTCTCAGGGGAGGTGATTGGAGAAGTCTCTCTGGAAGTGTTTTTACAGATGCTTTTTAGGAACATTATAGAAGTGGTTGATGCATTTGAGCTAGGGTTAGATTTTATGGGTTTTTCTTTTCTTTTTTTCTTTTTTCTTTTTTTTTTTTTGAGACAGAGCCTCAAACTGTTTCCCTGGGTAGAGTGCCATGGCATTACAGCTCACAGCAACCTCCAAATAGCTAGGACCACAGGTGCCCGCCACAACGCCCAGCTATTTTTTGGTTGCAGCCATCATTGTTGTTTGGCGGACCGGGCTGGATTTGAACCTGCCAGCTCAGGTGTATGTGGCTGGCTCCTTGCTGTTTGAGCCACAGGCACTGAGCCAGGGGTTAGATTTTAGATGCCCAGGATGGTTCTGTTTTTATGCTGTTGACATGACATTATTAATACTAGTCCCAGATTAGATCATAAATTAGTTCACCCTACTTACCATACCTTTTAAAACTCCTATTATGATTCTAAGTATTATACACTGTTGTCCACTGGAAATACCTGAAATTAAAAGCAAAGTTGTTCTGGGCAGCGCCTGTGTCTCAATGAGTAGAGCACTGGCCCCATATACCAAGGGTGGTGGGTTCAAACCCGGCCTCGGCCAAACTGCAACAAAAAATAGCTGGGTGTTGTAGTGGGTGTCTGTAGCCCCAGCTACTCGGGAGGCTGAGACAAGAGAATCGCCTAAGCCCAGGAGTTGGACGTTGCTGTGAGCTGTGTGATGCCTCGTCACTCTATTGAGGGCAATAAAGTGAGACTGTCTCTAAAAAAAGGAAAAGAAAAATTGTTTTTACTCTGACTAGAATAAAGGATTGTTTAGAAGGGGCATAAGGGAGTGATATAACAGGTTTTATATAAATATAAAAGTGTAAAAATAAAATTAGAATATTTTCTTCCATTTCTTTGAATCCAGCCCTCAGAAAGTAGTTTGGAGGTATCCTGCTACACTTGCTTTAGTCTCTTCACAAATGCACCAGTGCACAGTTTGTTTGAGTATTTGATCATCTTGTTTACTACAAATTCAGAAGTACGGAGGCAAACCTAGAACCCTCTCTCAAAGGCAGAGAGCAGGCACTTGTGACTGCGCTGACAGCAGGATTCTTCTGTCTACTTCCAGGTGAGCATCACAGACTATGTGGTGTTTGACCAGTGCAGCTTGTTCCAGACAATAATCCACGCCACACACTCAGTGGCCACAGCAGCCCATGCGCCTGTAGAAAAAGTAGCAGATAAACTACGCATGGCATTTTGGTCTCAGCAGCTTCAGTGCCAGCCGAGCCTTCTAGGAGTCAATAACAGCGGTGTCTGGATCTCCTCAGGCAAGAATGAATTCCATGTTGCTAAAGGAAGTCTCATAGGTAGGTGAATTGCTTTAATTTTTACATTGGCTTTATAGGCAGCTTTACTTTAAAGCCAGCATTGAAAGAAAAGCTTCAAGATAACTTGAAAGGATGATATAGTGCCAGTGGTATAAAATGAAATGTCTATAATGGAGGTACTTGTTATACTTTATGAGTAGTTTCACCCTTTGTGTTAAATCTAGTGCTCATAAAACTTTGATCCCCATGTCTGGGTTGTGTGTTTCCCCTGGAAACTGATTATGACATAAGAAAAACAAATGGGGCAGTGCCTGTGGCTCAGTGAGTAGGGCGCCGGCCCCATATACCAAGGGTGGCGGGTTCGAACCCAGCCCCAGCCAAACTGCAACAAAAAAATAACTGGGCATTATGTCAGGCACCTGTAGTCCCAGCTACTTGTGAGGCTGAGGCAAGAGAATCACCTAAGCCCAAGACCTAGAGGTTACTGTGAGCTGTGACACCACGGCACTCTACCAAGGACAACAAAGTGAGACTCCGTCTCTATTAAAAAAAAACCAAAAAACAAATGGAGCTCATTTTTTATGTTAATAATTTCACATTTTAAATGGAAAAATCCATCCAAATCTAAAGAGCCTAATGAGAGGATTGTCTGATTCCCAGAGGGAAAATTGTCACTGTTAAAAATATTATACCAGAGCCGGGCATGGTAGCTCATGCCTGTAAATACTAGCATTCTGGGAAGCTGAGGAAGGTGGATTGCTTGAGCTCAGGAGCTCAAGACCAGCCTGAGCAAAAGCGAGACCTCATCTCTACTAAAAATTGAAAAACCATTGTGGTGGCTCGGCACCTGTGGCTCAAGCGGCTAAGGCGCCAGCCACATACACCTAAGGTGG